TTTGTTGTGTTCTTTTTTCAGCTGAGAACACTTAGTCTTGATGGGAGTGTTGCGATAACTGAGCCCCACGGCATCCCTGCTGCCACTCTGAGCCATTTTTCCTTTTCATTACCAAGAGAGCGGTGAGGTGCTGGCACAGGCTGCCCAGAGAGGTTGTGGATGCCCTGTCCCTGAAGGTGTTCAAGGCCAGATTGGATGGGGCCCTGGCAGCCTGGTCTAGTATTAAATGGGGAGGTTGGTGGCCCTGTCTGTAGCAGGGGGGTAGAAGCTCGATGATCCTTGAGGTTCCTTCTATGGACCCTTCTATAGCCATTCTATGACTCTATGATTCTTCGGGGCTTTTCTTTGAAGGAGTCTGCAATATTTCTCACCTTGTATCAATATTTCAGATTAAGCTCTGCCAGCAGGCAACAGAACTCATATCAGTTACCCTACCCAGCCTCAAAACTCATGCAGAACATCACCCCCCTACATCCAGGCCACAGTCACCTCTAAAATGCCTCTGTTCCATGTCTGACATTGGCTTTTACAGGCTTTGGGGCCTGAAAACAGGAATATTTCCTAAAATAACCTTTATCTGTTAAAAGTTTGTGCACTTTAGAGCTGTCCATTGAGCTTTAAGAGATAAGATGCTTGAGTGTGTGCATGGGATTTTACTCCTCCTAAGCAGAGTCCTCTTTATATCTTCTTGTGGAAGCAGGTTTTAAATGAAAATAGGGCAAAAAAAAAACCCCAAGATTCTTTTCACTTCAGCCAATACTCTGAAGTCTTTGATGGTACGAGGCCACTGGCATGTCAGCAAATGGAAGTTGCACTTAATCCTTACAGGTAGGCTAAAAATATGGCTTTTAGTTTGCTCCTTATTTAGTTAGTAACCTTGATGGCTATGGAGACCTTTCCCTAGGGCTCTTAGCAACGGAGTGATCATAAAATTCAAACACGTCCCAGCATAGGGAGTGGGCCAAGCTGAAACCTTCGGGTGAGTCAACAGGGGCTCCTGATGTGGGTGCATCACCCCGAGCACCGTGCCCAGAGGTGCGGGCATGCCGGGCCCCGGGGCAGCGCCCACCCTGACACCCACCTGGGCTGGGCTGTAGGGAATGGAAACAACGTTAGGGGGAGCTCCGCCACCTCGTCCAGTTCTTCAAGAAAGAGCGTTTGTGCCACTGGCTCCAGTTCTAGGAGAAATCGGCGTTTTTCCTATTAGATATCAGGCTGCTGTGCCGGGATAACGGGTTTTGCATGTCATAGGATCCGCATGGGTACGGGTATTGCCTCACCACAACGAATGGCAGACAGTGAATCCCACTCAGAGACAGTAACCAGTTATCAACAAGGATTTTAGCATTTCTGACAAAAAAGGAGAAATGTCACAGAGTTTTAACTGCAGAGTTTACAGCCCTCAGACTGATTTGCGAAAGAGATCAATAATTGGTAGCCATGACACCTTCCTGCTTCCAGGTTGTCTAATAAAATGTTCCAGAAAGTTGCCTGCAGTTTGGAGGGTGCATGACCAAAAAGGTTTCCTGCAGTAATTATCCCAGAGAACTTATTATTTTCATGTGTGCTTTAATGTGCATAAAGTGTTCATAAATAGTCACTAAAGAATAAATGGAGGAAAAGTAAAATGAGATTTCTCATTCAAAAGAGATGGAATGAGTTTGAGTTACAGACCATACATCACAGAATCATACAATTGGAGAATGACTGGGTTTGAAGGGAACTTCAATCCCATCCATCCCCACCCCCTACCATGGGCTGCCCCCACCAGCTGAGGCTGCCAAGGGCCCCATCCAACCCAGCCTAGAGCTCCTGCAGGGTTGGGGCACCCACAGCTCTCTGAGCAGCAGCGCCAATGCTCTCTGAGTGAAGAATTTCTCCCAACCTAAATCTCTCCTCTTTTAGCTTAAAACCATTCCCCCTTATCCTATCATTATCAGACTGTGCAAAAAGTCAGTCTCCCCCCTTCAAGTACTGGAAGGAAAACAAGTCGCCCTTCTTAGTGCAATTACTTCTTCCCGCACCCTGCCAGCCACCCTTCTCTTGATGCAGTCCAGTATTCCATTAGCCTTTCAGGCCACAAGCACACACTGTTGACTCCTAACCAGCTCTTCATCCACCAGGACCCCCAGGTTCTTCTCTGCAGGGCTGCTTTCAGTGAGTTCCTCCCCCAGTCTGTAGTCATATCTGAAACAGGGAAGTGGCGTGGCGAAGATGGGTGCAGGGAGCCTGGAAGAGACAGAGAAGTCTCCAGCCAGCACAGGTTTGTGAAAGGCAGGTCGTGCTGGACCAACCTCATCTCCTTCTATGACTGGGTGACTAGTCTGGTAGATGAGGGAAGGGCTGTTGATATAGCCTTCCTAGACTTCAGCAAAGCCTTTGACACGGTCCCTCACAGGCTTCTTCTGGGGAAACTGGCTGCCCGTGGTCTGAACAGATATACACTTCTTTGGGTAAGGAACTGGCTACAGGGCCATGCCCAGCAGGTTGTAGTGAATGGAGTGAAGTCCAGCTGGCGACCCGTTTCAAGTGGTGCCCCGCAGGGGTCGGTACTGGGGCCCATCCTGTTAAATATCTTTATTGATGACCTACATGAAGGGATTGAGTGCACCCTCAGCAAGTTTGCAGATGACACCAAGCTGGGAGGTGGTGTCAATCTGCCTGAGGGTAGGGCGGCCCTTCAGAGGGATTTAGACAGGCAGAACCGCTGGGCTGAGGTGAATGGGATGAGGTTTAACAAGGCCAAGTGTCGGGTCCTCCATTTTGGCCATAACAACCCCATGCAGCGTTACAGGCTTGGGGATGCGTGGCTGGATGAGTGTGAAGAAGAGAAGGACCTGGGGGTGTTGGTTGATGCTCGGCTGAACATGAGCCGACGGTGTGCCCAGGTGGCCAAGAGGGCCAATGGCATCCTGGCCTGCATTAGAAATAGTGTGGCCAGCAGGAGCAGGGAGGTGATCATCCCCCTCTACTCAGCACTGGCGAGGCCGCACCTCGAGCACTGTGTTCAGTTTTGGGCCCCTCACTACAGGAAAGATGTTGAGGTCCTGGAGCGTGTCCAGAGAAGGGCAACGAAACTGGTGAGGGGTCTGGAGCACAGGGCTGATGAGGAGCGGCTGAGGGAGCTGGGATTGTTCAGTGTGGAGAAGAGGAGGCTCAGGGGAGACCTCACTGCACTCTACAACCTTCTGAAGGGAGGCTGTGGTGAAGAGGGATTTGGCCTCTTCTCCCAGGCAACAAGCAGGACACGGGGTAATGGCCGCAAGTTGTATCAGAGTAGGTTTAGGTTGGGCATAAGGAAGAACTTTTTCTCTCAGAGTGGTCAGGCACTGGAATGGCTGCCCAGGGAGGTGGTGGAGTCGCCGTCCCTGGCGGTGTTCAAGAGGCGTCTGGATGACGTGCTGCGTGATGTGGTTTAGTGCTGGTGGAGGCAATGGTGATGAGGAGGCGGTTGGACTGGATGATCTTGTAGGTCGTTTCCAACCTTGTGATTCTATGATTCCATAATTCTATGATTCTAAGTGTACCAGAGTGGTTACTGTTCTCATTATTGGTTTTGGTGCTGCGACACAAAGATCAATGCTAGGCTTATTTCAACATGAAAAATTAAATACTTTGTACTGAATGGTCTCGTATCCATGTTGAAATGCTCCCTGCTGTTTCTCTGAAAGCAGTGGCAGTGGTCACAGGGAAGTCCACTGTTGTACTTTGAAGCAATTTTTTGAGCACCTATGACAAAAGGACAAGTTTTTGTGTTCAGGTTCTGTGTGTGCCATCTGCTCAGAGGAGACGTGCAGGCTTCCAGGAGGCTGCCAGCTGGCTGACCATTCCTCTTGTTTCAGATAAACAGCCAGCATGTTGCAGTAAATTCCAAAAGATCAAACTCCTCTGCTTTTCGCTTTCTGTAATTCTCACTGGGGAAAGTGCGAGCTTGCTTTCTTTTGGCAATATTACATATTTCCAGCAAGATGAATTTTCACTTCACTTTGTTACTATCTCATGAAAGTAGCCCACATAGAGTAAATAATATTCATTATTAGAGTATTGTATTTTGAATTTTAGGAGTCATTAGCTCTCTGAAACAGGCTGAAAAATGAGCTCACCTAATTATCTGTTTCTGTGCCTATACCTGAACCAGTCTGAGGATATTCCCATGGATGAAGTCATTTTAAAGAGAGTTGTTTCTTCCTAATATGTTTCATTTATAAAGAGTGAGGAATTCAGGCATTTCTAGAGTGAAGCACAAACACTGCACTACTTTAGCTTGTCTAGGTTCAGGAGAGTGATGAATACAGTCATAGAATACCAGAATCCCAGAATCCCAGAATCATAGAATGGTTTGATTTGGAAAGAATATCCACTAAATTAGGCACCAGATCAGGCTGTCCAGGGCCCCAACCAACCTGGCCTTGAACACCTCCAGGGACGGGGCACCCACAACCTCTCTAGGCAGCCTCCCCACCTTCTCAGCAAAACCTAATATGTCTCCCTTATTTTAGTTTAAAACCATTCTTCCTTGTCCTATCCCTATCTACCTGTGTTAAAATTTGATTTAGCCAAAACCATACTATCAACACTGGGTGTCTTCAGGAGGTACGATCTCACTTCTATGTCCTGGAGGATGCTCATTCTCCCAAGAATGTTAGTATTTGAAGGGAGCAGGATGGGGCAGCCTGTTACTTTTTAATCTGAAGTTACTTTTGTAATCTGAAGGCAACACGTACCTGAACCACTTCACTCCCAATAGGAATGCGACACTACCACACCATAGACATTCAGTTTCTGTCTCAACATCTTCTGAATAAAGTCACCGGGGATATCAAAGTTGCTGGAATACCTGGAATGCCTGGTCCCCCCTATTTCTTTTTTTTAATGTCAGTGAGAATATGCAAGCAGACAAATCATTGTCATTAGAGGAAATTCCAGAGCATCAGCTATTGTCTGTTAACTGCTCATCAGAACGCTCTTCCTTACAGGGCACATGAGGTCACTTTCCCTTCTTCGCCCAGTCGCAGTTCCCTTGATCTGGAGATGTACACATGGAAAACTATCATGTAGCAGAAAGCTGGAAGCCCCCATTTTTGGCACTTTCTTCCATATTCTTCTTTGCATCTTGCACAAAAGAACGTGTCTTTTTCTTAAATGGCAATTATTTTTTGAGTCACATACTATATTAAGAAGCTCCTTTGTACGACCTCAGGAGTAAGTACCAGGTTTATGTCAAAAGATTCAAAGGTTTTGGGAAAGACAAAAGGGAAGTGGATAGAGAATCACACCAAACATGATTACCCAAGTTTTCTTTGGGAGATCTGGATAAAAATATCCATAGCAACAGCCTGATCCTCCAGACAAACATTCAGGTCAGTAACTTTTCATGAACATATTCTCTTATCACCTTAGTAAGCTTGTGTAAAATTATTCACATGCATAAACATTTATAGGATCAGTCCAAGGGTCATTTCACATCACTCAGTATTTTTAGCCTGTCTTTTTCTTTGGTGGCATGCATTATTCACACATCAAGAAGCTAAATCAAAAGTACAGTGATATTTTACTGGTTTTAAATCCTTTGGCTTAAAACCACAGGACCGCTTCCTTCCAGGAGGATGTGTCATTACAAAGTTCTGGCATTCCTTTCCTCCACCCACCCAGCCAAAAAAAATGTAAAGAATTTCAGATTTTTCTCATTTCCTTCTGGGACAGAGTAATCATGTGAGTGTACAGGGGAGATTCCTAGCAGTTAATTTACTGGCAATACCCATAGCCTGTGCAATGAAGTAGGAAGGAAATGTAGTTTGTTTCAATGGCTATTTCTATTGTAAGAAATGTTTCACATGCAGAAATGTTCCTTGTGGCCATGAAAGTGCGTCCTTGTATTACTAAAAACAGATTAGGAAATTACATGCAGAAACGTAAAAAAAAAATAAAAGAAAGAAATCCCAGAATAGCATAAAGAATGAAGAAAACAAGTGAAGGAAATTCCAAATGAAGGTGGGAACCGCATCAGGCAGTAGCATAACAAATGTAGCGTGCATAAATAAACCAAGACATAATAAAAGGTAGATTGACTGAAGTGCATTCTGCACAACTCATATCCTGCTGCATTACTTTTTGTCATTAATTACCCCATCTACATCAAAATAATATCAATCAGCCAATTGGAAGCGCTTCTTAATGAGCAAAATTTCATACTCTGGGGTCAAGTTCCTTTTCCTTCATTTGTCTTCATTAGCAGCATCTCTCAAGGCTCTCCTGAAATAGAAGGCAGTGAATTTGTCAGCAAGCTCTTTAAATTCTCTCTGAATAATGTTTAAAAATAAAACAGCAAGATTAGCCAAAGAAGTATTAGAATGAAATGGAGGTTGTTATTGTTATTAGATATTACTGAAACTATGTGTCTTACCTCCCTTATTATTTTCACCATCTGTATTACTGTCTGGGTCCCACTTTTCTCTGGCACTTTTGCGCTGAAGGATACGAAAATACCTTAAAAGTTACAGCCGGGTCTGTAAGGTATAAACCACACCATCATTCCTTCCCTCCTTACTTATACTCAGTACATTGCAACCATGGTGTCCCATCACAATGCCTTGCCCCCTCTTTCTACCCCAGGTAAGCCGGTTTTCTCTTTTTTCTTCCCAAGGACAAGGCAGGAAAATCAATTACCAGTGGTATACCATGGCATCTACTAAACAAAGAAAGGAGACTGACACAACCATGGAACAGCTACACAGGTGTCCTGGTTCTCCACAACCCTTCCAGGGACTTCCCATGTCTTCTAACCTGGCTGCCCTTGCAGAAGACTCCATATTCGTTAAAAAAATAGCTATGAAGAGAAGGTATGGAGGCAAACTGAATGCACAATGTTATTGCATTCATTCATTCTGGAAACCTCTTTGGCTTCCACTTCTGAGAGCTGCTGGGGAAAGGAGAGTGCAGCCTCTCAGAGAGTCCTTCTTTAGTAGTAGCTTGAAAGTTATGCTCTTGACTCACAGCTGGGAAACTATAACATAGCCTAATATTCCTTGGAAATTTCTTCATCAGAACCAGCTATTTGGAATGGTTAACTTAATGGAGAAATTGCTCCTCTTTTGAGACAGCATATACAAAGTGTTAAAGACATGTTCCTAATGCAATGAGATGTTTCTATTTTGTTGTTATTCCATGGGAAGGCTGAAAGAGCAACGAGAAGATCCCGATAAATCTTAGGTGATTTTCTTTGCACTTCTTTGCACGCATGATGACACTTCTGCCTGACAGTTCTCTGCACTGGGTCTGGCTGGGATGGAGTTCACTTTCCCCACAGCAGCCCATACAGTGCTGTGCTCTGCTCTTGTAGCTGGAACGGCACAAGATACTGCACCAATGCTTTGTCTATTGCTGAGCAGTGCTGGCACAGCATCAAGGCTCTCCCCAACACTCCCAGTGCCAGGAGGCTGTGGGTGGGCAAGAGCTATGGAGGGGACATCACCAAGGCAGCCGATCTAAACCAACCCGAGGGATATTCCATACTCTGAGGAATGCACACTATGCAGTAAAAGCTGGTAAAGGGGAATGTTATTAAAACATCTGTCCTCCTATTCAACTGCTATGCGTATTGAGGTTCTGCTTCCCAAGATGTGGCAGAGCATTTCTTGCAGATGAGAAGTACAGAATAACTGTTTTCTCTCTGCTTCCGCACAGTCTTTGCTCATTTTTCTCTCTCTTCCCTCCTTCAACATCCTCCCCCAACCCTCACCCCTTATTTAAATGGTGCTTATTTCAAACCCTGAGCCTTTCTTTTTTCCATCCTATTTTTCCCCTTCTTCCTTTGAGGAGGAGGTGTGAGAACCCATCGGTGTGAAACCACCATGCACCCCAAGCTGTTGCCCATGGCTCGGTCATCTCTCTCACCAGGAGCAGGCCATGTGCAGGAAGGTGTGCCCTGCCCAATAGCAGCAACATGGATCTGAGCTCCTGCACACACTGGGCCCATTGCTGCTCTGCTGCTTTCAAAGTATCCCGCTTCGGCATTGCTGGCTGTCCTCAGATGTGACAAGCTCTACAGCCTGTATGTTGATTACAGTTCTTCAGCGCTTTCAGGTGCTTCATAAACATTGGCAAGGAAGAAATAAAAATAAAGCTATAGCTCCAACTCACATCCTAATGGACATAAACTCTAACACTGGAAGACTTCAGGTATAATCATGATGTCTGTTACGTGTTCCATGGCTCAACCACTCCTGCTAAGCAAAATCTCCCAAGGATCTTGTGTGCCAGGGCAAGGAGGTGCTGACCATGGTTGGCGACAGGACACAGCATCCACAGCAGCAGGTGCAGGGGAAGGAAAGCCCCCTGAAGGAACTGGGATGACAGCAAAGCTGCGGGTGCACAGCCCTACCTGGAAGCTTCACCTCCTGGCCCAGCAGGGCAGAAAGGGTTGGTTTGCTCTTTGTTAGTTTGTCAGAAGACTTAGCTAATGGTGCTGAGTGGATCTCTTGCAAATCAAATAGAAAAGTTATTCTTCATTTTATTATCATTTTCCTAGAAAAAGATCAAGAGAATTCGATGTCAGGTTTTAGACGGAAAATTATTCCTGCAGGAAAACAGATGCTGAGCTACAAAACTGGACCCTGAAGATTAGGGCAGATCTTCATGAAGTAGGCTGGGACTTCTTTTAAAGAACTCTTCTAATAGTAATTTGGACGATTAGCTCATCTCTGATATATCTAGATCTCAGGGGATACCCCGTAAAAGAAGAAAAACACTCTAGCCTGTGGTTGGCCCCACAAAAGAAGCCAAATCAGCAACATTGTGAAGGCCACTAATGAGACAGCTATTATTGTTATTGATTTTCTGTGGAACGTTGTCAGATTGTGTTGCCAAGCCAGATAAAAGGGATATAAGATTGAGTTTTATGTCTTACGCCAAATGTTCATCTACCTTGTCAGTCATTTATACGGGTGGAATGATGATAGGTGATCTTTTGGGAACCTGTCCACGAGCAATTTATGAATTCCAATTAAAAACTTCTATTATAAACTCTCAGTATGCAATAGCAACTGCATATTAAATTACAAACTTCATTTTATGAGGATAATCTGCCTCACTTGCTGTCATTTCTCCCCTTTTCTGGGGAGTAGATGATGATAAAAGACAAACCTGAGGATTTGTCACAAGCTGTGGAAGTGTGCTTCCCACTCAAATGAATACCTTCTTCAGCACACAAGGTCACGAGGGGAAGAAAGCTAACTAGTGACAGCATAACTTCTCCTGGTGAAGACTTTAAGTACTGGGTGATGTTGATCAAGGTTACGTTTCAGGCAATAGTGATATCCCAAAGCCCCCAAATTGTCAAGTCTTATTACTGTATCTGTACAAATGAAGCAGTGATGTGCTTAAAAGTGTGACAGGTAAGCTGCTTGATGTGATGCCTGTTTGTGCTCCCTCTAATTGCTTACAGAGGTCTAGACAAGACGATTGTGGTACTCTTGAGCAGAGCAAGAGCACTAGGAAATACCTATGGGGGAAGACATACGTGTCTACATGAGAAGACATACATGGACTGCACATATTGCTGTACACACTTTCTGAATAATCTTAACTCTTATTGTGGCAACATTAAATGCCTTTAGACAAACTATAAATACTGTTAAACAGAGAAGGTTAAATGTTACCACAAGTCTCTTTCCATCTTCAACTATACTTATGAGAGCTGATAGGAAACAAAGTAACAGGAAAGGACTGTAGGCAAGGAGTGAGAGATGATCCATGATGTGCCTATCTGTGGGATAAACAGAAAAAAATCTGGACTGCAAACAGCAAGAAGGTGTATCTGCTGGCCTTAAAAGATAGGGATCATTTCTTAATAGAGATAAGATAATATAAGAAGAGCTCAAACTCTATCTGAGCTCATGTTCAAGGGAAGATTTCTAATGTAGATAGCTTGGGGGCTTCCATAGAGCTCAGGTAAATTTAAATAAGAGAGAACTGGCTTCCTTATCACTGAGTGATCTTTCAGGCAGGATTGAGAGCTTTCTGCTATAATTCCCACTCTTGTATCTATTATCAAAAGTTTACTACTGAAGTCTTATAGAAAGTCTTTCACCTTAACAGAATTGCTTTGTCCTTTTTCTGCACCTTTTATCATGTGCTCAAGATTAAATGTAAAATTTCTCTCAGACAACAACAGTAAGTGCATCACTTTTTTGCAGCGCACTCTCTGGGCTTCCTTCCTGACAGCTCTGGTTTACAGGTCAACAGCTGCTAATGAGAGGACCCTGCTTGGTACATGCTTAGCATATGGGTAAAACAATTAAACCATTAGAAAATTGCATCATGGGAGTAGGAAAGCTGATAGAAGAACGTGTTGTGCAAAGTATAGGAAAGCAATTTAACTGTATGAAGGATGATCACAGGTCTCTGGTCTCTGAGAACAGTTATCAGGTCAGTATCTGGATCGGACATCCAGAAGACTTCTTGACAGTGTGGGAACCTCTGATGGGTGCAGGAAAGTAGGGACATTGTTCCTGCATGCACTGGGAGGTGTTGCATTAAGCATATGAATTGGGTGAATCCAAGCTTGGGAGACAAAAAAAAAAAAAAAAAAAGAGCATAAACATATTATTTTATTATTATATTATTATATTATTATACAGAAATCCTTATGATTATTAGGCAATCTGAGGCTGGTTTCTGTCAGTGTTGGGGCCGATTTAAACTCTTCACAAGATCGGCTGATTCATTGAGTCAACAGAAACATCGATCAGCAGGAACCAGCATGCCATGAATATTCAGGAGGCCCTAAAGTAAAATTGCTCTAATAAATGACACCACTCCTTCATTAAGTGCGGAAGTGTTTCATTGACAACGGCTGCACAAGCGGCTCCCACCCAGCCTCTGTGCATGGCAGCGTCTGTTCACTGCTCTGCTTAGGGCATACATTGAAAACACCCAAAAAAATAGACAGGATTTTTGTCATTACTTGTCCCAAGAGAAAGCAATAACTAACCTTGGAAAAGTAAAAATGAGCTGCTTGAAGATATAAAATGGATAATCCTGCTATTTTTCCCCACTACCCAGGTTTGCCATTGTGCCATCCCACTGTACCTTCACCTTGCCTGCTCCTGGCTCCAGGTATCCATGCTGGGCTCTGCTGGTGGGTGACCTTATGTGTACCCAGCCCTCAATCAGCCTGATCAGATGCAGCTAGTTTGGCATATTCCTGCACACAGAGAAACCTAATTGGATTCACAACACCAGTATTTGCATACACAAGCATCACCCGTGATGAAGTCGAGTTGTTCTTGTGTAACTGTCCCCATTTTGTGCCTGGGCATCAGACACCTACAGGGCTGATAGAAGATTTTTGTTGGCAGAGGGACTGCTGCTTTCTGCTGCCGTTTCTCTGACAAACATTATCACATCAGCCATGAGCCTTAGCTACCTGTCACCGTGGTGACACAGATCTGCTTTGCCATTAAAAAGGAAAATCACCCTAAATTTATAGACAAATGTGAGCTAAAAAGGTATTGTTTTAGCACCTTCATATCCTAACTAAATTCTGAGAAAAGGAAACATACATTTTCCCCCAGGGTTTTTGTCCTGTTTTAATACATGACATGAGAAGCTGAGAGAGCCATTTCATGTACGGCTTCAGCTAGCAGCACATCATCAAGCCAAATTTCATGTCATCAGATATTCACAACTTTTGGCATCGTAAAGAAAATTACAAGCTCTGTAGCATAAACAAGATGGTGTATTCTGAATTAGGAGACTTCTGGGACTGGAGAAAATATTCTGGTTTCTAAAAGATTTCTTTGCATTTTTTCTGTTTTTCTTCTGCTGGAAGACATACGTGGAGGAGGACACCCTTAGGAAATGGCTGTTAACTTCAGCACCTGGCAATGTTATCATCCTCAGTGGATGTCCCCGACAAGGTCAGTTCTGTTGATAGAAGAAGAAACAGAACATTTCTAAAACTGAAACTGCAAGCACTTCTAGACCAAGAATTTGTTTTAAAAACAAGACTGATAGTATGCTATTTTTACTTTTGGTTGGTAATGTACGTATTTTGTAAGCTAATACATGTCTCTCTCTCGAAAGTTATCAACCAGGGAGATGCAGTCTTTTATCACATAAGGGTTCTAGCTAAAAGGACGGCAGATCACAGATAAGGAAAAAAAATGAAGTCATGAATGCCTGTGTGAATACTACAGATAATGAAAACAACAGAGCAGCCACTCATCCTGCAGAGAGCTCGCTGCCTTGCTAAGCTGCATCCCCTGCGGCCCCGCGGGGCTCTGCTGATCATTAGAGAGAAGCAATCCTGGAGAGGCTCTGCTGTGACAGCCACACCAACGGCGCACTGAGGATCCTTTCCAGGGATGAGTGTGCTTGTGACAACCTCCGTGATAAGTGCAAAGCAGCCCCTATTCTCAGCCTCATTACGAATAGAACTTGTCATGGGGAAATAATGGGAAAGGTGGTGAGATACTGTCAAACGCCTGTCAAGGCAAAAGGCAAATGTCATCTCCCAGACAATGATGCTGTATTAAACATGCACTGTAACAGAGTGTGTTACGCAAAGGAGGTACAAGATGGACAGTTCGGCAGAAATACAGGTGCTTTGGACAGGCAGATAACTGCCAGATTTCCTGGAGGGCAGGTATTTTACTAATTGATGGGAAATTCCAGTGGAGAAGCCCATAGAGCACAGACCTAGCTCAAAATCCTGTTTGGCTGAAAAGACCTGCACAGAAATGCAGGGTGACATTGTGACTTCTGTGAGGAGGGGTTTGGAGCAAGTCTGTTCCTTCTTCCTGCAGATATGTCAGGTTCAAAGGGAGAAGGAACAGAGTGATGTTCTCACATTCCCACGCAGAACACCTCTTCTGATCAGCCCAGTTCAGCACAGCCTTAACACTGGATTGCGTATTTGTGAAGCATGTTCAATACCTTCTCAAGAAACCACAGAATCATCAAATTATAGAATGGTTTGAGTTGGAAGGGACACTTAAAGGTCACCCAGTCCAACTCCTCAGCAATGAACAGGGATGCCTTCAGCTACATCAGATGCTCAGAGACCAGTCCAGCCAGATCTTAGGTATCTCCAACGATGGGATATCCACCACCTCTATGGGCAACCTGTGCCAGTATCACACCATTCTTGGGTAAAAGACTTCTGCCTTATACCCAATCTAAATCTCTTTTAGTTTGAAAACATTTCCCCTCGTTCTATCATTGTTCTCATTGCCACAGAAGAGCAGCCATGGCATAGTCAAATTTGGAAAGAATGTGAGAAACCACATTGAAACCTTAAAGGAAGTGCTTCATAACATGAAATCCAACCATGCTATTCTTCAAAACCTATTCTGGGATTCCCACAGACAAGAAGCATCACACCCAAGCCAGGCGTCCACAGCCTGCTTCAAAGCTCTTGGACTCAGAACCGGATCATCCATCGGTCAGGGGAAGCACTGAGCTCCAGTTATTTGCCAAAATAAAATGTGTCAGACATCATCAGAAAAGTATGGGGTGGGGGTAGGGGAAAGGGAGCAGTTGTTAGTCATTACCTCTGAAAAATAAGCAGCTTTGAAGAATAGAAGCACAATTTCACTGTGGAGATAGTGGAGCTGGCACTTCCGAAGCAGGCAGCCTGCCCTCTGCTCTGCTGCAGGCAGCTGGGCTCAGTACAGCCTTCCCACAGCCCCATCATTCCCAGAGAATTCACACTGCAGCGATAAAGAAGCTGTAAGAGCTGCCGCCTCCTCTCTCCCAGATAAGGATGACTAATGGCTCACTCAGCAGGGCCCTCTGTATGGGAAGAGCCACTCTTAAAGGCTCACCATTACTAAGTCTGACTGAAGAAAATAATGTTTCCTGGGGCCTGATGGCCCAAGATGAATCAATTAATCCTCATCAGTTGCATTCAAAGCAGTGGACTGCTGAAGGTCACCATGGCTCTCCATGTTTTATGCAGTGTGAGCCAGTGGGCAGCCATGGTTTTTAGATGGATTCCCACTCACTGACACATGTGAAATCCCAGCCTGATTTGCTTTCAAGAAATACAATCATGGAATCATAGAATCATTAAGGTTGGAAAAGACCTCTCAGATCATCTGGTCCAACCATTTACCGATGTTGCCCACTAAACCATGTTCCTTAGTATCACATCTACACATTCCTTAAGGACCACCAGGGACAGTGACTCCACCACCTCCCTAGGCAGCCTGTTCCAGTACCTGACCACTCTTTTGGAGTTTTTCCTAATAACCAACCCGAATCTCCCATGGTGCAACTTGAGGCCCTTCCCTCTCATTCTATTGCTATTACCTGCGAGAAGAGGCCAATCCCCACCTTGACACAACCTCCTTTCAGACAGCTGTAGAGAGCAATAAGGCTTCCCCTGAGCCTCCTCTCCTCCAGAGCCCTGGGCCCACTGAGCCCTGCTCTGCTGAGCACAAGCAGAAAGGAGCCAGCACCGCATTCCCAGTGCAACACAAAGGAAAACAGCATTTTATATCATTTCCAATGGATCAGGGTAACAGATATTTTCCTCCATGACTACAGGTGTATAAAGATTACACGCAGAACTGAAGCAACACTTAACTGCTGACACATTGTAAATATTATTAATTAAATAATAATCATCCTGAAGATCACAGGAGGAGACAAAAAGGCAAATCTTGGGATGCTGTGAGAGAAGGATACTTTTATATAAGAGCTCTGGGTAAGTTTTAAAAAGCTATCTTGTGAGACTGCATTTTTTCCATAATCTGTCTGGCTCCAAGTGAAAGCAATATCAAGGATTAAGCCAACAGTAATTTTTTAAAAAGTATACTAAGATAAAAACCTCATGAAATGGCATTTTCTTCTTGCAATGTATGTCCTCTCCTGCTTTACCCAGACATATATCTCACAAAAAATAAAAAATAAATAAAACTGATAGCCCCACAAAGCCAACGCTACAAGAGAAGCACTGCAGAGTCCATCTGCTCTTTGCATCATTGGAAAAAATAAACGCTGCCTTCTGATTCTCAGCTACTGATGCACACACAGCGCAGGAAAGCAGCCCAGCTTTCAAACACATGGGTTCAGTTTGTAGCGTCTGTGGTGAAAAAAATGTTTTCTTTTGTAAGCCAAGCAAATAGTCTCTGATGTTTATTAAAAGATAGCAAGCAGCCCCTCAATGTATTGCTGCAGTTATGCTTCCAGTGCTGCTTGTTTACAGACCAGGAGGAAAAGCAGAAACTGGCAGTGAAATGCAAAACCTCGCAGGCGCCCACTTCCAGCCAGATCAGGTAGCTCTGTAATGGGCTGTATAAATCCAGCTGGTAACATCACCCACCTCTGGAGACAGGATACACTCCCACGAGAAAAATGATGACCAAAACTGTGGTCTGACTTACCAGAGGCAGACAGCCCTCCGTTCTGTGGTTCTGTGATTCTGTGATTCTGTGATGCTTGTGGGTCCCCTCCAACTCAGGGTATTCTATAATTTTGTGATTGTATCTGTTAACCCGCTGTCACTGAGTCAGTAAAACTCCCCGGGCACAGTCTTACTTCAGGATCACAGTCTTCTTTTCTTAACTATAACACTGAGAACTAGAAATCAAAAAGCTCTTGTCACTGCAGAGGCAGAATTTTCCCATGGGGATTTATATCCATTCATAGAATCATAGAATTGCTTGAGTTGGAAGGAACCCTTAAAAGTCACCTAGTCCAACTCCCTGCATGAACAGGGACACCTACAGCTCAGAGCCCAGTCCAGTCTGACCATCCACCACCTCTCTGAGCAACCTGTTCCAGTGCCTCTCCACCCTTATTGTAAAATATTTCTCCCTTATATCCAATCTAAACCACCCTTCTCTTAGTTTGAAACCATTTCCCCTTGTCCTATCAGAACAGACCCTGCTAAAGAGTCTGTCCTCTTCTTTCCTATATCCTCCCTGTAGATACTGAAAAGCTGCTATCAATTGTTCACATGTGCTTACATATACTGCAGTAAATAATGGTAATGGATAAATCTCATCAGCGTGGAAGTATGTTGGAGACAAAAAAGCTTGGGAATAGAGGGGATAAGTGGAAGAAGAGAGAAGGAGCAGGAGACGGAGGAGTGCTCTGTTTCACTCTTGCTTTGACAAAAAAATCTTGGCACTACATCTTGAAAGTAAGGTTTTCAGTGATCAGACACCACTCTCACATGTGCTTTGTCAGTTCCAGGAAAGCTGATGAGACACTCTTTCTGAGAAAGCAGGTGGCCACTCTGCATCAAGCTCTTTGAAATCACCTAATGAGATCATTTCATCCAGGAGACGACTGAAGAGCCCACGCTACATGGCAGAGCAGTCCGAGAACGAAGGGCATTCAAGGTTTTGAAACCACGTCCTTCCTCATCTTGACGTGATTGAATCACTGATGAGACGGCGCCAGGCAGGCACTTGTCAGCTCTGAAGACAAAGTGACCGGTCTGTCGCTCACTGGTCAGCGAGCGAAGCGCGGGGCGCTCTTGGGGAAAAAGCAGTGAGCCTTCTTTCCACCCTTGTCTGATCCGTGACAGATAGAAACTAGCTTTCACTGCTGTGTTTGGCAGGAGAGAAATTCAATTTAGTGTAAGGTAGGAAATACGGAAAGCTCTTATGAATGCTGTCAGCTGCAAGCATGTGGCAGGGAACTGGGCAACGCTGCTCCTGTCCACGGGGAGCAATCACTGCCCCATGGAAGCACACAAACAAAGCAAAGATCTCACATTCATTATTTTAAAGTTTATATGATGTCATGCAGCAAACATTCTCTCTCTCTCTCCAGTGTGTCAGGAGAGCTGTTCCTCCAACCACTGATCTTCACCCTGGCAGGATTTCTGGATATCACACAAGTCCAAGGCACCTTTTGGACTTGTAGGAAGGCAACAAAGACTCAAAGCCTTTTCCTCGTTCTTCACCTCCCACCCAGGAATGAAGGGCGCCATTGCTGGTAAAATAACCTCAAATTCAGGTGCTGGGTTCACAGCCCTTCCTTCAGATCAGCCTTTGGCCAGGAAATTGGTGCTGCTGCTGCTAGCCATTTGCAGATGCTGCGTGCCATAAGCAATGCTCTCTGCAGAGCCCCTTTCCTCCCAGTTTCACAGCATGATTTGGGGTATGGAAAACCACTTTCTGTGCACACATACTCATTCAGGTGCAGAGAAGTTTGTGGTGGAAGTGTGTTTATAAGGCACCGTGGGGGAACTCCAAAGGCAAGAGCCTGGCTTTTGAGCAATGAATTCCCACTGAGCTACAAACAATCAGATAAAACAGAATAAATACAAACTGTCTAACAGTTTAGGCTGCTGCACTGCAATGAGATACTGATTTATTTTGTTTTGATGAGGATGATGCTTTTCCTTGTTATACAGATAGTATAGGATTTACATTTGTTTAAGAACAAGCATGTCTAGAAATGCTGAATGTTTGGAATTGTGTTACTCGAGGTAGAGTTAGAAGCTCAAGAGCAGAGAACAGAGACAAGAGAAGACAGCCATGTCACTAAGTTATGCCCCTTGCTGTCACACAGCCCAGATGGTGCCATCCCCTCCAGATGCTGGTTTCTTTCTTGGCTAAACAGCAAAGCATTTGCTCTGTGAATAATTTGGAGGGCTTATAGCAAAACCTCAGCATTTACCTGCTACACATGCCTGTTTGTGGGCTGGCCCCATCCTTTCAGTGTCTGTATCTTTTCTTCCCCAGTGTTCCCCCATCTGCAGGCAGCCGCTGGACTCATCCTGCAGCTGAGCCAGTCAATGACAGCCCCTTTCCAGAAGCAGTATTTTCTTCTACAAATTGTGCTATGTTTGAAAGAGATTTGAACAAATATTTACTCAGCGTACTTTGAACATCACTGCATATTACCCCAGTATGATGAAATAATGGCATGGCTCTGTTTAGATTGGGCTTTTCCCTCGTGGGATGCTCATTCACATCCTCCGTGTAGAAACTTTCCCAATTAAAATCACAGTGTAAAGCTTTTTGAAGCTTCCTTCCCTTAGAGGACAGCAACAAGGTAAAGACCTGAGCCATCCCTGACCTGGGAGATGAATCCACTGTAGCATGTAGGCAGTCGCAAACCAGGCATCCTTCTTTGGCAGCCTTGGTAGGCACTAGTGTGGACACAAGTTTTTGTTCCCACTCTGCAAAGCTTCCCTGAACAGCTCAAGGACATGCTTTAAATCCCTTTCTCCAGCACCTTATTTTGTAGTCCATAAATAGCTCCTCTCCAAAAACTATGCTGAAAGCCCAAAGTCATGAGCAAGGAGTAGAACTATTTTAGTGCATAAGCATTTTATTGCAGTTGTGGAGGCCAAAAGCTCCAGAGCTCTATTCAGCTTTAAATAAAGTTAATAATAATAAAAGCATGCAAAAAATGCTATTTCATTCCCAAGATTCCCATAAAACTGGTCTGTCTTCATTCAGCCATCAAAAATATACCTACAGAGCACAAAGGGTTTTGAGTAAAGCAAGGATGAGCTGAGCCACAGCAGCTCTGCATGCTTTTATAAGTTAGTTTGGAGATCACAGCCAGGGATTTCATATTCAGATACCTAAATATAGAGTTGTACATACTCATCATGTCTGAATTTTCAGAGGCTTTTATGTTCAGTGCTGGAATATGATCAACAACTTCTAAAAAAAAAAAAATTAGTCCCCTTGGTGATGTCTAATTTTGGGTATCCAAAAGTAAATGTGTTTCAGAGCACAGTTATAAGAAAATAAATCTCAATATTTCTGTATGTCATTTCATGGGATGGCCTGGTTCCTTGTGTATAAAAGCAAGACCTGATCTTTCTTAACTAATATTATGTAATATTTATAAATACTGTAGCAAGGCATGCCAATAGCAACCAATTTATCACATTCTGTTCATTCAGAACCTCCTCATATTAACACAAAGTCAATTTCCCAACTTTAAGGCAAACTTTTTCCTTTCAGAGATAGAGGTAGGACTCAGTGAGTTTCCCTCCTTTGGCTGCACTCTTCTAAAAAGAAAGAAAAACGCTTTGCTTCCTGAAGACTTTTCAACTGCTCCAGCATGTATTTGTATTGACATCCTCTCTCAGTCCAAGCCATGCATCAGCTACTGGGGTGCCCTTCTCTGCACATGCCTGTGCAATTCTGTTCTTCAACAATGTGCAACTGATTAGCGTTAACAGCAGTAATTTGAAGTCATTAGACAATAATCCATAGATTATAGCAGAACAGTATATCTGTCATCAGCTTGCTGCTTGGATCCAAAAACGCTGGCTGCTCTTTTTATCCTGCTCAGTCTGACCCCTCTGCAACATAGCTACCAAACTCAGCCCCTAACCTAGCCAAACTCTGACATGTTTTTACCCTTCCACATAGGAGGGCTTCTTTTAAATAATGCAACCTGTGTGACTGGCTCTGCCTCTTGATTCTCCCTTGATAGAACACTCATTATTTTAAAGATGAAGCTGCATCCCTCAAGTTCTTTGCCAATTTCAGGCAATTGGATTTTCAGCTTGATCTGTAATTCATGATGATTTGACCAATTACTCAAATGCAAACACGATGACATTTTTCTTCCTTCTGTAATGCCTGGATCTAGCTATTTCCAGACATCTCACTACTTTTTTCTAATCATGCCCTCACACGATTCAGGAAATTAAAACAGGCATGAGCTATGTGAGATATGACCCCTAAAGATCTGAGGAAGACCTTCAGATGGCACCATGGCACTTCTCCAGTTGAAGATTAATATGTAAACTACTTCTGCCTCCTCTTCCTGAACATTATCTCATGATACCAATAACTAAGATGCAAATAATGACCCAAACTTGCTTATAAAACAGCATTAGGAAGATGGATATTAAAAAAAAAAAAAATCATTTTTTCCCTCTTTTTGAGATACAAGAGAGGCTTGCTTTTAGAGGGAACATGGCTCCAGAACAGCAGCCACAAAAGACCAAGCTTCCACACATGGGGCCCAGCTCTAGGGGCAGAGAAAGAAATGCTGGCAGCCATTTGACAATCAGTTCAGAAAAGGGAATCCCTCCAGGCTGACATGGAAGTGATGAGTAAAGAAAGTATCTTTGCTGTAGAAATATTAATAGGTCATTTGCAAATTTTTAGCCAAATCTATTCACTTCAAAAGCTCAGCTTGGGGACTGAGAAATTTTTCAACAAAACATTAGTCTCAATTAAGCAAATGTAACCAAGATAAATGAGCTCAAAAAAAATATATAAAACTGGTGAGGTCATTAAATCCATAAAGCAAAGATGCTGAAACTTGGAAAGCATGCCAAAACAACACAAGGCAGGTTCAGGAAGGGATAGACAGGCTCTCCCAGGCCAGGGATGCTGAGCAGCCAGATGCTGCTGACACAGACGGTCAACACCCAGGGCAGCCCACAGCAAGCACTGCGCACTAAGGTGGGAAGGAATTTTAATGAGCAATTTCAGTCTCATATGTGCTATGAAAAAAGCACCTGGCACCATTCCCAATGTCAACAAAAAGGAGTGCCCTCCAGGCTAGAGGCTTGGTTGCAGCATCCTCAGGAGAGGATGAAAAGAGACCATAGTGCAGTTTCATGCTTTCTTTCTTTGATCCTC